GATGGATATTACATGCCTATCAGAAGTCAGATTGGCAAGCTCCGGCTCCAAAAGTATCAAAATCCCTGGTATGGATAGCAAATACTGGCCGTATCACAGCGGCAACGAAACGTCGGATCAACATTTCTGATGCGCAAGGGAAAATGTCTCGATGAGTGAAACACTTCTCAATCGCCCTTAAATTTAAATTCCGGATGCGTCCTCCTCGCTATCTTCGCCATATGAAGCTAAATGCGATCCACCATCAATAGAAGAAGTCTCAGATATCATCAAACACCTAAAGCCACGGAAATCTCCGGCGAGGACGGGATACTCGCCGAAATATACGCAAAGTGTTATGCGGAGATTTTAAACCCTCTCCATAGCTTACTGTGTGCAAGCCTGGGAAACCGAAATTTGCCCAACAGATTGGACTACATCGATTTTAATACCTTCCCCTAAAAAGGGTGACAAATCAGTGTGCGAAATCTACTGAGGCATCAGTTTACTTTACGTGACGACTAAGGTTTTTGCACAACTTTTGCTGAACCATTCTGCTGCAGCAAGGCACGCGCGCACTCGTCCTAACCAGAAGGGATTCCGCCCCAGTGTGGGTTGCGTTGACCAAGTATTCACTTTATGTCGATTCTTGGAACATCGCCCCAACTTTCAACAACCTACAACAGTCTGCTTCATTGATTTTCGTGCGGCATTCGACTCTGTAGATCGCGAATCCCTCTGAAGTATAGTTCTGGTCGATGGTGTCCCAGTTAAACTTGCCAAATTAGCGAGATCCTACTATTTCAACACTACCGCCCGAATCCGCATCTATGGCGAGGAGTCATGCGCGTTAAAGTTAGGATCTGGAGTGTGACAGGGATGCCCATTGTTCCCAATACTGTTCAACCTTGCCGTAGACTGGAAAATGGCTCGTTTGATGTAAGGATACCAGGGAGTTCAGATCTCTCCGAACTTATGGCTCACCGACTCGGAATTCGCGGATGATATTGTCGTTTTGGGCGAGGACATGTCCAACCTCCAAGTAATCTTTGACTGCATCAGTCGACAGGCCTCCGAGATCGGCCTAGAGGTGAACACATCAAAACCCCAAACCTTCGGGACAGTCCCGATTCATTCCGAAAGTGCTCTGCTACTAAACGGCGAGCCGATCGAATCCGTCGAAAGCTGTAAATGCTTCGGCTCAACCATACTCTCTAACGGCCAAGCTAAAGACGATGTGCAAGTGCGCGTCGATGCTGCAAGACGTTTTAATAGCTGAAGAATTCCCTTCATCGTAGAAACGAAATCAGCCTCAGGACAAAACTCGGAGTTTTCTCCGCAGCAGTCCGTCTTTTCTCGCTATACGATTGTGAAACCTGGCCACTCAGAGTCGAAGACTGTCGCCGATTAGAAGTCTTCGATCACTGGTGCTTAAAGATCATTCTGGGAGTACGATGGAGGGATCAGCCCTCAAATGAAGCGGTCATAAATCGGTATTTAATCTTGTATGACTCCGGACGTTAATACAACGGTGGCGACTACAGTTGTTTGGTCACATGCTTCGTAAGTCTGATAACGACCTGACTAAAGCTGTCTTGTCACCGCCTCCCTGCCCGAACTGGCGCTGTCGACACGGTGGCCTGACCCAGTACGAAAGGATACAGAAAACCTTGGTCTCCGCTGTCTATGGCATTCGCCAATGGAAGTCGAGCTGGATCACAATCTGCGCTGATCTTGCCAGATATCGGCGAGCGTGAGCAGCGACAATTAGGGATGTCGATGAAGCCGGCTTATTTTCTCCCAGGAGTCAGCCGTAAAGTAAAGTAAGTGGATGAGTAGTACGTGAAGATGCAATAAGATGAGGGAAAGATAATCGAATGAGCAAGACAAATGGGCGTGATGTACAAAGAGGAAAGCTATTATCAATAGATAGCACATAAAGATTTATTTCAAACTACGTGGAAGCTAATAACCAGTTTCGTAAGCGGTTCTTGTACATCAAATATGAGTATGCTCTTGTTCTCCTCGAATTCATTTTGATACAGATATACATGATGCGAATCTAACTACAATACCGTTATCTGTATATCAGGGAGTTGTTTTGAGGCCACCTAACCTCGAAGAATGATCCTGATTCTAGGGTAATATTCTGTCTTTTAGATGTTTCGGAAGTCAGAAAACGCAACACTTACCGATGGTGATGGTCTAATAATAACTGAGGCATGTAGGACGGCTGGATGGGCCTACCCAACCAGCAATAAAACCTACGCAGCGGATCACATCATGGGGGAGATTTAGCCCAGTCATTCAGACTATTCATGATAACACCATCCAAAACCGTTCGGCGTTCATTCTGTTGAGACCAGATGCATTTTATGCGCAAAATACTATCACCAACTCATCACAATGATTACGCAATGTTAAATAATCTAAAAGTGATTCTTGGACGTGCTAATGAGGATACCTCGGGTCCGGGTCAACTGATAAACATTGCATATGATGTCACGCATTCCTGCTTTAGGTGTTTACAAAATAGAAAGCAATGATAGATTTGGCCGAAACATTGTTGAGAGCAATTGAGGTAGCATATTTTGTGCTCTACCCTCTTTTATATACAGTTTTGACTATCCAATGCACAGCATATGTTGATTTACGTGCCAATATGTACACCCGCACTAGTCCACGGACAATGTTGTTGGAATAAAAATACTTCATAAATTCAATCCGGATAACCTTTAGGTAGAGTGTAATGTATATCTTATCGCATTCCGTACATCAAATCTGATAATTACACATTGCCTATGCTTCCCAACAAAAGAGGAAGCCATTTCTTTAACTGTGAGTATAACTAAGACATCATACATCAGTATCATAAAGATTATTGTACCATGATTTGTTTGGCACCCAGTCTGGATTTAGACGTGTGAACTTAATGAAAATCATTGTGTGGCTACTCGAAAGCACAGATGGTAAAAAGTAATGTGGTTCAGCCAGGGAAGAACGAAAAAAGTGAATGCTAACGAAAACATCTATCAAATTATACGAGTAGTCAAAACGGTGCCGGAAAAAGAAAAACACTAAATGTGATCTACTCACAATTGCTTCAGGAAGTTGGGATCCAAACGAACCATTCACATAGACCATATCATTGTCCAAGTCAACCAGTCGGACATCTGCGTTTATCAAACGTTTCGTCTTCTATATTTTCAAAAAGATGGTGGTGGAAGGGTACTTACTTACCTCGAGTAAACAAGAGTGTATTCCCGCAATAAATGGTGAAGGGCAACTGTAAAAAAGCGTTCTGATTAGAAAAGCCAAAATTGCTCGCCTTGCATAATCAATGCACTCTAAAGGCAACAGAGGATAGAGCAAATGAACCCTGAGGTCGGAGAAAATAATTTACAAGTGATGACCGACACTTACCAAATCAAAGGATAGAGGAGACTTAAGCTGGCCAAAATGCACGAGGTAATGCGTTGGAAACGGGAAGAGTAGAAGATAATGCTCTTCTCGAGCAAGAGGCTAACAATAAAGTGGGTAAACAAAATAGGCACCAATACCTCTCCAAAACGACAATCCAATTACTGATTGAAAGAGTGTTGTAATATTCTAAAATATAGCGCTGTTATTGCTCATAAAGAAATAGATCATGGTGACAGTTTACGTGATAGAATGGATGTATTTTCCGGTCTGGCAATGCGAATTGATGATTCTGCACAGGTGAAACAGTTACAGAATAGAATATGAAATTTACCACCAGTCCCATCGTAATCACACCCTCGTTTACCCGTAATTCCCGTATATATTGTTCTAGTTGGGGACGACGGGAAACGGAGTAGAGCTGTTCTTGGTTCACAATAGTTAACAAACCATGGAAAAATTCGAACCATGGATTGAAACTAAAAGGATAATAGGAGATAACAAAAGTCTCACCTCCGCACACATATGAGGTACCCGGATAAGGGAAGCAGAAGACAGACTACAAACTCCAAGGTTCCTTCATTGTCCGTAAAAATAAGCACATATTCTTCAGAAAGAGAGCTAGAATACCCAAGTTCCTAGTTGTGAATGGTTTAAAATTACCTTTTATGATTGCAGGGAATAAGAAATTGTTTCAATTTTCTAGACCATGGATCAACAGGATAGTTCGGGGGGCAAATATATTCCATTACACAACCTGGATTCACGGTCAACAAAAAATATGCAGGAGATTTACCTTCTTTCGTACTGCTGACATCGTAAATAGCGATACATTCAAATGGACCTGCGCCGGATCTAAGATTAAAGGTTAACCCATGTACATGTCTGCACAACGTTACTTTAGCCGGGTCCAAAACATTACGCTTGACGTCCGACAGATAGATATTCAGTAAAATCGACAATAAAAGACATGTGTTTAGAAACAATTCTAAAACCGAAAACGTCAAATTAATCGGATGTAGTTTAACAGGAGATGGAAAATAAACCGCCTACAACTTTGCCGATTATCGGTCCACACCGAAATAAAATGAAGCAAAATTAGCTGATCAGAGTCAAGCTCACGATCTATTCAAAGTTAGAACGAAAATGAAACACTCGGGTTAACACACAAAACACAGTCCAACTGTGCACGTTTTGCGTAAGAGAAAAAACAGATAATACCAAAGGACATGAATTCAACTGTCTAGCGTCAGTTTGTCAAAGGTTGATCACAACAGGGTGGTAGTGGTGGTGGTCAAGCAGTTAAAGTCAGTCACTAGCACTCTTTGGGACCTAGCATTCGAAATTTGAAGCTCTCTAACGCACCCAGTTTCGGTGGTAGGTTACTCGTCCGAATAAATATTATGCCTAATCCAGTGGAGCCCTATGTGGTTCACCACTTCAAGTTTTGGGGCTAAGGTTGTCGGTTTACATGAGTGAATAGCAGGTCCTTGTGACTATGGAGTTCACCGTGTCGTCTGCTCACCTTCAAAGCATCAAGTGATGCTACAAGACTGGGTTTCGTCTACCCCGTCTCCGATGTTTCCTGATCAAGTTAGTTACGGTGGATTGCTTCTCCTACTGAGTGATACCACTTGGGTGATAAACGACGGTAGGAGGTAACCACCCACGATGTAAGTTGAACCCAAAAACATTTTCAGTCAGTCAGTCTGTCAAGAAGCGGCTTTAATTCTCCTCATAAGGGATGAACATTCAGCTACTACACAATCACTCTTCTTTGGAAATTACATGGTAACAAAACGTATGATGATACGTTACATATACAAAAAGCGAATTTAGCAAAGATTTTGTCTAAGAGTCCCAAGATCAGCGTTGGTAAAAAAAACCGTGCCAAGTACGGTATTAGAGAAGACTGGTATGTAGTGGTGCGTGCTGCTATATGTTTATACATGGAAAGAGTGCTAGATGTGGAGATACATCGACTAAGGTGCGGGTACAGTGGGTGAGTTGGGC